TCCACCATTTCCTTCCTTCCTTCCTTCCTTCCTTCCTTCCGCAAGAAAACAACAGATGATCCTTTAGAGTGATAATATTTAGGTTTACAAAACCTTAACCGTGTGAGTCACCTTGAAAGGAGGATGGGTGGTGGTGTTTTCCCTGGAGAGGCAGATTAGAATTACCTAAATGAATTTTTAATGGGCTTGAGTTCGCAAGGCAGGTTTTGGAAAGTACTGGGGGAAACGAAAGGAACAAAACAGGAAATAAGCCTCCACTCCTCCCACTTTTTTGTGTTTAATTTCTCACTTTTCGTACACGAGATACAAAGCGGGGGGGGGGGCAGCAAGCAATTGCCTTTATTTTCGGTGACTCGGCTAGGATTCCAAACCAAGCCTCTTACCAGAAATAAAAGCTGAAATGCTCCCCAGGGAGTCTGTGTGATCACTTCCCCTAGAATGGCTGATATTTTTAGCTGCTATTAATGCTCCCTGCCAGTTTGGGGGTGGGGAGGGGGACCTTGGGCCTCCCTGTGCACGGGGCTCCATTTCCCACTGTTGGTCATGCTTTGGAAGGCCTTGTTATAGCACTTCCATGCTTTTGAGGAGCAAAAGACCGGCTGGAAGCTCCCCAGCATGGCACTGCTAATGACGCAGGCTTTGCAGCAGACTTCCTCTTAAGGCTCCTGTTCCTGGAGCCAGTAAGTCCCCTCCCCCTCCAGTGGCCAAAGCAGAGCTGGAAAGAATCAACGGCACCTTTCCCAAAGACACAAAAAAACGGCACTGCAGACAAACATCGCCACATGACCTATTGAAGCAGGAAAGGCCACATGTGGAGCGGGGAGGGGGGGGGACTGGTTTCCCTAGCATAGCTGGCCTGTGCGAAGTCTCCTTCTCAACCCCAAGTTCACATGCCAATTAGGACCCAAGACCAAAACGATCCACCCCTGAAGCCCTCCCAAAGAAGCGTGGTGGGCTCTGTGCACACACGTACTTGGTCGTGCTCCGGAGAGCAATGAAAGATGTGGCCGCCCATGACCTACATTGGGATGCTTTTGTCTCCCTCCAGTCGCTGCAGAACAAGAGCTACAACCACTTTGCCGCGATCTATTACTTGCTCATCGAGAGACTCAAGTCTCATCGCAGCAGCTTCCCCGTGGATCAGCGGCTGGATTCCCGTCAGCGGCGACCAAGCACCATCGCCGAACAGACAGTCGCCAAGGTAACCCCACCACCACCACCATTGTAGGCAGATCTGCCGCTTGCACCGGAATTCGGTCTCAGCGGCTGTCTCCTTCCAACCCAGGCAGTCCCGTCCTGGAGAACCCTTCCTCCTCCATGGGTTTTCAGAACCTGAAGCTCTGTCACGCAAAGGCCTTGCGTGCAGCAAGTATCCATTTTGACCAGGGTTCCCTCTAAGCTGTGGAGTCTTGTGAGCAAAAATTCTACTTTGTGAGCTACCGGCATTAGAAGAGAAAAGAGATTGGATTTATACCCCGCCCTTCACTACCCAAAGGTGTCTCAGAGCGGCTTAAAATCTCCTTTCCTTTCCCCTCCCCACAACAGACACCCTGTGAGGTGGGTGGGGCTGAGAGAGCTCTTGACAGAAACTGCTCTTTTTCAAGAACAGCTCTTATCAGAACTACAGCTTGGCCAAGGTCATCCAGCCAGGTGCAAGTGGAGGAGTGGGGAATCAAACCCGCTTCTCCCAGATTAGAGTCCGCACACTTAACCACTACACCAGACTAGCTCTCACATTAAAGTTGTGAGCGAGCAATTTGGCCACTGCATAAATGAGTTGGCTCCGGAGCCCTCCTTCCTGAGCTGAGACAAAAATGTGTGAGCCAGAGGCTAAAAAACTGTGAGCTAGCTCACACTGATACAGCTTAGAGGGAACCCTGTTTGTGACATATTGCTGTCTTTTTAAAAAGGAGCCAAACTCAAGAGATGGTCTGATGCCGTTCGGCAAAGCGATGCTCTCCCGTGCATTGGGGGGGGGGCAGCTTAGGCCGCTCCCCAGTTCCCGGCCTTGACAACTTCAGTCTGGAGCTGAGTGTTCCAGATGCAGCAGAATTTGACTCAGAGCAGCCAAAGACATCTGGCGTGTCGTGCCTTTTAAAAATAGCACACTGTAGTGACTAAGAATGCCATGCTGTGAGTCAGGAAGTCTCTGCTTCCCATCTCCCCTCGGGCATTAAGTGACCCTAGGCCGGCCAGCACCCCTCCGCTTGTCCGCAATGTGGGGACAATAACACTGGCTTACCGTGCAAGATTGTACTAAAGATTACCAATATAATTGCGGAATGGTTTGAAGGCCCTCAAGCACCAGGCGTTAATTATTCATTTGGCCTTAAAGAGCCAGCAGCTTTTTCTGCCAGGCGTGCCGTCCTCTACGTTGGGCAGATGTCTGCAGTGCTCCCAGACATGCCAGTCACGGGGCAGCGTGGAGCCCAGCACGTCCATAAACCCGCTGGTGGCCTGGAAAGCATCTGGCCTGCCAAGGAGGTTTCGAGCTGGCTGGCAAAACACACACGGACGGTATATTGCACTGGGGAACGTGTGTCCCGATGTTCCCACTGGTCCTGGCCTTGCCTCTGATGCAGAAGTCCCGATGGAATCCCTGAAGTCAGATGCCGCTCGGCAGACCTCCACTCGATGAATTCCAGGTCATCCAGACACCCTTCAGAGCAGGGGTCATTTCGTAGAAAAAGAGGTGCAGGAGCTCATTAGCATAACTCATTAATATAACTTATTTGCGTATGCCACACCCCCTGACGTCACCGGAAGTGTGTCAGAAGGCAACACCCACCGCTCAGGCTCCACTGGACTCTTTTCGATTGCTAGCTATTGGGGGGGGGGGAACGTGGAGATCTGCCCTCACAGAGGAGGGAGAGCTTGCACCTGAATAAACCTTGGCCTTAAAGGTTTCACTGGACTGTTTGTGGCCGGGGGGAGCTCTGCGACTTACCTGGCTGCTTCTTGCTCTGACTGAGGGCTGCTGGGAGCAGGGGGCGGGGCTTGTTGCATGTCCCCGCCCCCTGGGCTCTTTACTGCCAGAGCTCCGCTCCTGTGCGCTCCTGCAGGAAATGACCCCTGCTTCAGAGCCAAACGTTAGACGGCGTCTGAGCTTGCTTTTCGTCTGAACAAGCAAAAAGCCCTCTCGGCCGTGCAGTCTGTGAGGAGCAGCGCGAGCTTGGCGCTTGCAGCAGCTCCCCAAGTGTTCTGAATGTCACTACTGCAAAACCCACTGAAACGTTTAAAAATATATATATATAGCAACCGAGTGTCCTGTGCTTGGAGAGAAGAGAACGGCATCCGCCTGCGGGTTTGGGATGGCAGGGTACGTTGGTGGCAGATGTTGCTGTGGCCCTCTCTGTGCTATCGGGCATCTGGCTGCCTTTCTTTAATCAGCGTGACGCCAGTTTAGTTAGCATTAACCCAGCGTGTACTTAATGGCAGCAAAAGGGCAAGCCAACACGAGCCTTTGGAGAGACTCAGATTCTTCTGTATGACCTCTCGCCCGGACTGTGCATGCACAGCCCACAGTATGGAACCTTCCAGAGCCCTAGGCCGGAGCGAACGATGGCTTGCCCATCCCCCTCCAGCAAAGAACATGCCAGCGTGGTGGGTAGTGGTTAGAGCATCAGACGAGGATCTGGGAGACCCAGGTTCAGATCCCCACTTTGGGCCACGGAAGCCCGCTGGGTGACCTTGGGCCGGTCACGCGCTCTCTCAGCCTCACCTACCTCACCGGGTTGTCATGCAGAAGCAATGGAGAAGACGAAAATGATATAACCCACTTTGGGTCCCCATTGTAAATGAAGTAAATAAATGATAGTGGCATCGTGCCTGATGTTCCAGCACCAAAGGGCAGGGCCCAAGTTCTTTCCTGCTTTTTTTTTTTTTTTTAAATACTGATTCTTTTAAGGGACAGCAACAGCAACAACTTGCTCTGGACAGTTCGGTGACTTCCAAGTGGAACCCTCCCTGTGTCCTTTTGTCTGGGTCAGCTTTTTAAAATAAAAACCTCCAGAATTGCTGCCCCTGCCGATCCATTCTGTCTGCCTCTGTTTGCCTGCCTCCCGGCTGCTCCACTTCCCCTCTTTCTCTTGTTCCTCGTAGGCCCAGGTGGCCGTGGCGCCCGTCAATCTGCGCCCCCAGAGCGTGCGGTTGCTGAGGTCTCCCGGCCTGCCTCCCACTTCTGCCACCGAAGCTTTCTCGTTCCCTCCTTCCGGCTGCCAGGCGGAATTGGCTTTCATGGAAGAAGAGCGCATCGACACGCCAAAGGTAAGCTTTTAAAGTTCACAAATGCGCCGTGTTTTAGCCTCACAGAATTTGGGGCTGTTTCCAAGGGTTGCAGAAGAACAGCCAGATTTGACTCCGGGAGCTTCTTCGAGACCATCAACAAGCTTTTTGGGTAGAAGCTTTCGAGAGTCAAAGGTCCTTTCATCAGATAGTAAAGGTAATGGTCTCCCTTGCTCGAAAGCCAATCGAATCCGACTCTAGGGTTGCGGTGTTCATCTCCGTTTCCAAGCCGAAGAGCCAGCGCTGTCCGAAGACGTTTCCGTGGTCACGTGGCCGGCATGACTAAACACCAAGGTGCACGGAACGCTGCTACCTTCCCACCGAAGTGGTACCTATTCATTGATCTGCAATTTCTTGCTTTCGAACTGCTAGGTTGGCAGGAGCTGGAACTAGAGACGGGAGCTCACTCCGTCATGCGGCACTCGGTTCTCAAACTGCTTAACTACCGGCCTTCCAGCCTGCAGTTCAGCATCTTAACCACTTGAGCCACCGCAGCTCCTTTCATATGTTTTACTCTACTTTTCATTGGATACAGTAGAGTGAAAAAAAAAGAGGGAGTGGCAGAGTCACTGCAGTTGTAGCTTTTTTGTGCAACTCAGACCTAACTCTTTGCCTAATTTTTTTTTTTTTTGGGGGGGGGGGGATGTTTACTGATTTAGTGCCGAGTGCCTCGGAGATCCGTGGCCGGTTTTGCCTCCCTCCGACACCTTGCGGTGGGGCCGCGTTTAAATCTCCTTGCGGTGTCGCAGCAGTGGTTTCCATTTCTTTGTGGCGACTGCATAAATGTCTGCTTCACTGTGGCAGTAATACCGCAGCCATCCCCCACCACCACCGCCGCCCGATGCTTCTGTTTTATAAGATCAGACGTGGATTACTAATAAATGTTTGTACAAGACAGCTTGATTGACTGACTTCATAGCAGAAGGAAGTGGGTGGCCCACAGGTATTTTCTGGAGTGCGGGTCATGAGGTGAAAAGGCCTCACATTTAACAGTGGTGTGGTTTCCGGAGCCGCAAAGTAAACATGGTATCTGGAACGCCTTGCAGTCTTCAGGAAGGTTACAAAAAACCCGCGGTCCCTCAACGGACTTCAGGGTAGGAGCAGCAGTTGGCTCTGGGTGGAAGGCCTGGGGAGGGAGGGAATTTACTCTGAGTGAAAGACAGACACTTATGGAGGTGTTTTTATTTTTATAAACAAAATTGTCATAAAGTGTCTACAAATGTTCCATGCGCTGGACAGAGCGAACTAGAGGATTGCTTGGAACCGTCGAGGCAGTGGGCCCTGGAATGTTTCCAGGGTGGTGCAGAATTTAATGAAAATCTAGATTATGAAAGTCCCGTGGTGGCGGTTTCCTTCCCAGATATTCTAAGGCCATCACAGGAAGTAAATTTCCGGAAAGACGTCTTCATAGACTGAACGTTCCCTCATTAGTCACGTATAAATGTTTAATCTTGTTAACCCTCATGCCTGTGGGAAAGATAGTTGAAGGACCCGCAAAAGGAACAGAAGATTTGAAAAGACGGTTCAAAGTAGTCAGCGAGTTTGTCTGGTGCACGATTGTTGCTGTAGAATGTATGGAGAGACGACAACGCACGATAAAACTGGGTTTTACCGTGATGCAGGTCACCCTGTTCCCCTAGCTGCAGGGTCCTCTGTCTGACACCCGGTTTCCCCATCAGCCTTTCTTCTGTGCAAAAGTTAACCAGAACAGTTTGTTGTTTCTCAAGTGCTTGTTCCATCTTTGCAAATTTGGGGTCTTATAGTACAAAGGATCCCCCTAGCTGGATTTTGGTTTTCCCCATACAGTGTCAACGGTAGTCTTTATGGTTCTTTCTATACAGGACAACACATTTCCTTCACCCTGTCACCTTTCAGATGTGGTCAGCCGCTCCTTCACCTCAGGTTTCCTTTGAGCTGAGAATTGTTTAATCTTCAGCTGCAGTCGTGACGGGTTTTCTGCCTGTCTGGATAATGAGATATTGGTAGCTTGGAAGACACAAAAAATACTTGCCAGTGAAATAAGTGAGAGCCAGTTTTGTGTAGTGGTTAAGTGTTTGGACTTTAATCGGGGAGAGCCGGGTTTGATTCCCCACTCCTCCACTTGCACCTGGCTGGATGACCTTGGCCAAGCGGTAGTTCTGATAAGAACTGTTCTTGAAAAAGAGCTATTTCTGTCAAGAGTTCTCTCAGCCCCGCCTACCTCACAGGGTGTCTGTTGTGGGGAGGGGGCAGGAAAGGAGTTTGTAAGCCGTTCTGAGACACCTTTGGGTAGCGAAGGGCGGGGTATAAATCCAATTTCTTCTTCTTCTGAGATGTTGGTAGCTTGGAAGACACAAAAGATACTTGTCAGTGAAATAAGTGATGGCCAGTTTTGTGTAGTGGTTAAGTGTTTGGACTTTCATCGGGGAGAGCCGGGTTTGATTCCCCACTCCTCCACTTGCAGCTGCTGGATGACCTTGGGCAAGCCGTAGTTCTCTCAGAGCTCTTCTCTCAAGGACAGTTTCTGTCAGAGCTCTCTCAGCCCCACCTACCTCACAGGGTGTCTGTCTGTTGTGGGGAGGGGAAGGGAAAGGAGTCTGTAAGCCGCTCTGAGACTCCGAGTGAAGGGCGGGGTAGAAATCCAATCTGTTCTACTGAGATGTTGGTAGCTTGAAAGACACAAAGATACTTGTCAGTGAAATAAACTAAGAGCAAAAACAAATAGCGGTTTCAATTAATTTATCTTTGCTTTGAGTTTATTTCATTGACTGTATCGGGCTTTCTGGGTACTCCCAAGTTGTCAGAAAATATTAGGAGGCCTCTGTCTCCAAAGTCTTGACAGCTAGGGCTTCCCCCCCCCCCCCC